CCTGCACACAATAGTGGAAAGGTCCCCTCATTTGGGCTAAATGAGGGCCTGCACACAATAAAAAAAAAAAAAGATAAATACCTTACTACCCCTCAGTAGTCCCGGCTTTTATTGTTCAAGCTTTTGGGAAGTAGACACTGCTACCCTAAACCCTAGACCCTAAACCCTAAGCCCTATAAACCCTAAACCCTGAACCCTATAATATAAACCCTAAACCCTATAAACCCTAAACCCTAAACCCTCTAAACCCTATAAACCCTAAACCTACAAACTGATGTCCTGGAAGGAGAGAGACAGCCTGAAGAGTTTCAGGCCAAAGCTCAACAACTCTGGGTTTTGTGTGGTTGCCAGATCTATAGGTTCGGGTTTAGGGTTTAGGGCTTAGGGTTTAGGGGTTAGGTTTCTAATATAAGCCCCTTTACAAAATCGAGTCCATTGAGTTTTCTAAGGGGTACTATACGATACCTCGAAACCCACAATGGTGCGGATGAAAAGTACCCCTCAAATAGTGCAGTGGCCTGCCGAGAGCCCGCCAAGTACTATCGTACTACTGTACTATTACTGTACCAGCGACTACCAAGAACTCAGACCCCGAACCTCCCCCAGACAACTATCCAAAGGCGGGAGAAAAAAACGACCCCGGCCACGATTCCGGATTTCAGATGATCAGGCCTTTCTAGGGACCCTTAAGGGTACCTGTCGGGTATATAGTAGGTGTATAAGGCGGTTATTAATCAGGAGGCCACATGAAGCGCCTTTACTTGCCGCCGGGAGTGACTTGAGGATCCTGACACCACCACAATGGTGCCCTGAGCCCTAAAACCGTAACACCGTAAAGCCCTCGCCCTAGAGTTTTGGTTTAGGGTTTAGGGTTTAGGGTTTAGGGTTTAGAGCCCGCAACCTTGATAACGATACCCGTAAGCCCAAAAACTATTCGGACCTTGAAGCGCGAAACCGCTAACCTGCACTCAGCCCTTAAACCTCCACCCAAATCTGGCCTGGGCTGTTCTGTGGGTGGCGGCTTTGGCATGGAAGCAGCCATTTCCTTCAGGAATTCTCAAACACCAAGACCCAAATCAATACTTAAACATGAAACCTACACATCTAAGCCCCAACCCACCCAAATTTTGGACATGAAGTTTCAGTGCCCAGCCTTTCGGAAACGTAGTGTCCAAGGAATGGAAAGGATGTGAACCAAGAATGCTGAAGTCTTGGTCCCTACAACTCTACATCGAGCACACCGGAAGGAAACCCTAAACCCTAAACCGATTACGGGCGCAGCCTACAGGAGCAGCCGCGATGTGTTGAGGCTGAAAGCACCCGAGGCTTAGACTCAGGAGTACTGCAGTTTATGTGAGATAGGGACGTGAAGGGACATTTAGGGGTTTAGGGTTTAGGGCTTAGGGTTTATATGAGATAAAAACGTCACGGGACGATTGCAACTAACAACAAGGTAACTTGGGGCTGTGGCAATCTTGTTATCTGAGCGACTTGCTCAGGCTGTTGTTTTGCGGATGTTGCACACGGCAGCAAGTCTGAGCCCCCCTTCATGCTAAAATTTTACGTGACACGCATATCCAAGTAAGTGCATCAAACCTAACTCCTTTTGGACAAACGAAAAACAACCATGCCTTGCCGCGAGGGTCCAAGTCGTTACCTAAGCACCGCTTGCTCCACTAAATAGTAACCTGCAGCGCTGCAAGTACTGCTGGAACAATCAGGGTAATCAGGGTCCCAAACCCTGAACCCTAAACCCATTATAGAAAGCCGCTAGCGTCATTACCACTAAACACAAACTCAAAGCCTTGAGCCGTTAACATATCCCTTACAGTTACCCTTATAGCATCCCTTTTGCTCTCCGGTTTCGTGTGGTGTCTCGCATCCCTTGTAGTAACCGTGTGGTATCGTGCCTGGCATCCCTTGCAGGGATCCGGTTGCAGTACCAATAAAGGATTTGTTGGCGGCCCTGAAACCTCAACTACTAGGGTATCCTTCAAGGTATCCCTTGTGGAAACCCCTTATAGTAACCCTGAAAGTACCCTTGTAGCAACCCCTGCTTGTAAGTGGGGTTATAAGTTGTTGAACTTTGATGACGACCCATATTAGGGGACCTGAAACTCCACTTATAGCAAATTACCCATGAACCTCCAAGTACAGAACCGTACATCCCTAGACCCCAAACCCTAAACCCTAAACCCTAGGCCCCAAATTGTAAACCCTTGCGGCAAAGGCCCTGCCTTCTTCACCCGCTGGAGCTGGCCTGTGCGCAGCAAGTCGCGCAACCGCTCCTTGCAAGGGGCTCCCAGGAAGATGCCTCGTTTACGGGCTTAAGATTTGATGTAGAGGGCTTTATAGGGATGTTGTAGGGTTTGTATCGGGTTGCTGTATAAGAGATTGCTTGGGGGCTGGTACTAAAGGTCAAACGATGGACCTTTTTCTAGTGAGTTTTAAACCAAAGCATACGAATTGCAAGGTGCCCTAAACTTGTTAAGTACCTCAATAACGGAAATGTTCTGTGATCAAAGGGAAGATGGGATCTCTGTCAAAGTCGAACAATCTGCTTCGGATTTGGGATTTGCGGCTTCGTCAGCGACGGCTTAGTAAGCCTGTAGGGGAACACCGCGTAAAGCCAAAGAGTCAATGTACGGTTTGGGTTTGCTCTGAAGTTGAAGGGTTGAAGTGCTTTCCAGGGCCAGCGTTTTAGAAGGCTCGGGGTGTTGGGGTTTTGGGTAAAAGAGTGTAGGGATCCGAATTTTCTTGTTGTTGTGTTAGATTAGTGTTGGCGGGTGGAGCCTTGAAAATATACGGATTCCTTGTTAAACGTGCCGGTCCTTTTACTACAATGGGCCTCTATAATGCGTTTTGTCTATTATTCAGACCGGGACCAAAATTCGGGCGGCCTAATTAATGCGTGTTTCGGGGTGCCTGGCAATTTGTTGGCTCACGACCTAAAACCCCCCTCCCAACATCAAAACCCTGGCATTGAAGCCCGAAGCTCTCCCTAAACCCGAAACCCCTCTTAAGCCTGAACTGCCTAAACCCTCAAACCTCAACCCTAAACCCTCAAATCCAACCATACTGTACTATTACTGTACTACTACTGTACTACTACTGTACCACTACAGCTCTACTACTGTACTACCACACTACTACTGTACTACTGTACTACTAGTGTACTGCTGTACGACTGTAGTACTAAGTACTACGGTAGTACTCCTGTAGTACTACCGTACTACGACTGTACTACTGCACTACTACTGTACTGCAGTAGTACGTCGATAGTGGAGGGGAGTGTAGGCTGGAGGGAAAGGTCTTCAAAATGAAAGGTTTTTCGTGGTGGTAGTTGTCTTGGAGTGAGCGGGGCTTGGTTTCGAGCTTTTGGTTGTCCCGACCCCGACTGCGGAGAACCGCTGACCCTCCACCCAAGCCAGCCCACAAACCCCCTAATTCCAGTTCCCTTCTAACGTAGTCAAAGCCACCAGACCCAAAGCCAACCCGAGAGCCCCCAATCTACCGAACCTTGGTCCAGCGGGTCCCGGATGATTCAAGCCAAAAACTGTTGGTTGGAGGGGGGCCGCCACATTACAGCTGAGGATAGCTTCACATGTGATGCATCCTGTCATTCTAGCCTCGCATTTGGATCAGCTGCTTGGCCGGTTTGGTACTGTGAGCATGCATAGTGCGTATGTTGTGCGTGCAGAAGCAGATCGTGAATTCGGCTTTGCCGGAATATGAAGTGTTTCGGACCCATCTGCGAAAACGAGATTGGATCCTGGAATCCTGTTTCGCCAATCTCATCGAAGGGTTTCCGCAAAGCGGCAGGCCTTACCGACTCCCTGAACATCCCTGAGACCTCGCTTTTGCCTCTTCGACGCGCTTGCCAACTGTGCCGGCAAGAACTAGGAGACGCAGCCGCTGGCGGACCCGAGGAATAGCCTGGAGTCCAAAGCTTTCCCCATTTCTTTGGACATTTCGAAGCTTTAGAAATGTTGCGGTAAGACTCTGTGTTTCTTCGGCTCCTTCCGACTGCACCCAGATCTTTGATGTCAGAACGAAGCAAGGAAGGAATGGCGTTTAATCTGGATACAGCGCGGCGCGCAACATGACATCAAAACCAAAACTGAAACTTCTGAAACTCTCAGAGTTCGCGACCACCAGCGGCAGTAGCTGCTTCTCAACGTCTCTCAGAGACCTGAAAGCCATGTCATGGATGGCCCTTAGAGTTTTATTGAGCTGCCGAATTTCGGAGCGGAGGCGAGAACTCGAGCAGCAAGGCTGCAAGGCTAGTGTGCTGATTCCCTTCATGATGCCGGGGGATCTAAAACCAATGGATTATCTACGTCTGTTTTCTTGGTTATATGTGTCTTTAGTCTCTGGTTCTGGCGATTGACAGGCGGTTTCGGTTCATCATATATCTTAAACACGCCCTTCCATTGGGCAATTCCGGCTCGTTATATATATATATATATATGTATATGTATATATATATATATATTTATTTATTTATTTATTTATATTTATATTTATATAAATATAGTGAGAGAGAGAGAGAGGGAGAGAGAGAGAGAGAGCGCAACGCAATACAGGCCCGTGTTTTTCGAGTAAAACACGTGTTTTTTACATGTTTTAGGCTCTATCCAAGATGAAGACATATGATATCAAGAAACTGAAATAAGATGGTATTGGTTCTTAAGAACGATCCATCAAAAACATTACAGGCTTTTCGCCAACAGCAATCAAATTGATTTCCGATGGGTGTGGACTCATAATATCATTACAATGATCTAGATGTATACTACGCCACAACCGGACGGCATCGGCACGCAACAACGAACGAATTGGGATGTCAACGGTTCTGTAGTTACAACAACTTGAACATGGATAGGTCACGACCCCCAATAATATTGAATTGATGTTGACGTGCCCTACCAAAAAGGAAATTCGAATGTGCATTGACAAGAAGACAAGAACTAATTGAAGTTGGATAGGTATTCATCTCCGACATGGAAAACGGTGTCTGGATCGGTTGTGACCTCAGCACCAGCTAATTTTATGTCGATAAATAAAGATCCAATTAAAAAAAACAACAAACTATACAACAGTGATCCACAAGAATGCTGAACTAAATTTAGACGGTGACAAAACTGAATTTGGCAGATCATGGAATTCATTTGTTGTCGAGCCTCACCAATACGAATATTAATATAGCGGGTGACGCCCTTTCCATGGGGCGATTCCGCTTCATCATGTGTGGTTCTCTGGCATACTGCCGTGTCATACTGCACGGGTTTCCTGGTTTGACCGGAATTCAGAAGCAGCAATTTGGGGTAAGGGGGTGATCTGTGTCGTTGTTTTGCGTTACCTGTGTCGTTTTTTTTCCGCATTATTGGTGTCGCTTTTTTTGTTTTCCTGTGAAGCCTCAGGTAATAGCTGCCTGTTCTAGGTTTCCGTGTTATCTGTTTGTTGTTGGCGTGATCCTTGTCTTCTTTTTTGCGTCGTCTCTGTCTTTTAGTCTTGCTTTCAGAAAGGCCGGACGGCTCCAGTTCTGAATGACATCATGTTCTCGTACGCCGTGCAGACTTTTTTTGGGCATACTGCCAACTGCCAACTTCCTGGGACCGATTGCGTCGCCGCTCGTGCCACTCGCGCCATCCGCACAACTCGTTTCACTTGCCCCGTGCCCCGCGCCCCAGTCCGAGTCCAGCACATTAACTTAGGCACGAGCCGAGGGGGCGTGTTTAAGATATACCGTGAGCCAAAGTAGCCAAACGAGGGGGCTTGCTTAAGATGTATGATGAAGGGAAATCGCCCAATGAGGGGGCAGCACACTTAGGCACGAGTATACATCGTCAGCTGAGGGGGCGTGTTTAAGATATATGATGAACGGGAGTCGCCGGTTGAGGGGGCGTGTTGATGAACCGGAATTGCCCAAAGGGGGTGCGTATTTAAAATGTATGATGAAGCGGAGTCCGGACTCGCCTCGACTATGGAAGGGCACAACACTGTCCTTCCATCATCGTCAGCAGATGCTGCTGTGACAGTCTGGGGTAGTGGCTCCCGGTCGTTGTCCGTGGCAGCAAATTCCAACAGTGGTGCTAGCACCTGCTGAGCTGCATGGGCGATCATTAGTTTTTCAACCACTAGCTGGACACTGAAGGAAAGGAGATATGAAAAGTGCCAGTAAGTCATCCGACTTCCGACCCGTGCGGTCCGCTTCTCCTGGTTGTCCCGATCTCACATCAGAGAACACCCACATTGCCACGGCAACCGTTTCGAAGCAGAGCCCACACCCGATGCTTACAGCCCCCTGGCCGTGGCGCCTTCTCCTCCGGCCACACGTCCAACAGCCGGGCTGCGGCCTCCGACACCGAGACCTGCAAGAGCGATGCGAAAGTGAGGTTTCAGAAGATAAGGGGTGCGCCATCTCAAACAAGAATCCTACTACCTACCACGTCTTGGTTAGCATTTGGGTCCTGTCTTTGTGAAACTTCCAGGATATTGTCTTGGCACAAACCTGGAAGCCTCAGGCGCGCGCAGACAGTGCCGGAGGCACTTCGGTGTCACCACTGAGGGCCCTGACAGAGGCGAGGTTTCCGTGGTTGCAGTTCGTTCGGTACATGTTGCTGCTAGGGTCTGCAAGCCTCGTGCCTGACGCACATCCTTGGACTTGTGCTGATCCAGAACAAGAAGCACACCATCCAGCGCGCTTCCGAACATTCATTCCACATCATTCCACGTTGCTCTATCATTCGATCGTACAATCAACTCGTTTCGCAAAAACGAGTTTAGCGACTGTTTTCACGAACTAGCCGGTCCTCAAGCCTGAGTGCCTCCTTCTCCAATCTCAACTTTAGCCGCTGTGCTTGGTGTCTCATCGTTCTCCGGCAGACGGTACGGGTTCCCGGCTGCTTTGGGTTCTTCTGCCTAAAGTTCCTGTCAGGGAAAAAGATGCAGTAGTGCTGAGCTGTTCTTCGACACAGTCAAGCTCACACGACCTTGCCCGCATTTGCCCCCGGCCGTGCCCATCGAAGAGCGATCGCGTCACAGTAGCATCGCCAAGCTGCTCAAAAAAACAAGCCCAACCCACCAAAAAGCCATTGAAACCATAATCCCCCACAGGCCCACAGAAGTAAACTCTAAATCCCTGAAGCACAAAAAAACCCTAAACCCCTGTACCCGATGTTGCTTTGGGAGCCGTCTCTGAGGAGCCCGAAACTAAAAGTTCTCCTGAACAAGCTCCGGTTTCGGCATTTAGGGCAATGGGTAATTTGGTCTTTAGGACTTTAGGATGGGTTTAGGATGTTTAAGACAGCACTCCGGCCTGAGCGCCTCAACCAAGTCCGTTGCACCGCTGGCCCCCAACCTTGTGCACTATAGCCTAAAGGGAAACTTTGAAGAGGCAGGTCAGAGCTCCAGAATCAACAAAATCTCATGCTTTCTTCCATTCTCAATTCGGCCCGTCGAGTGAGTTCAGACCAGAACACAAAAGGCGTTGTTGTGATACGGTTCACCGGCTCTGATTAGAAAGCTGCATTGAGAAGCCTCAATCTGAATCTGAAACAGATCAGAGTCCTGACATCATGCTTTGGCACGGCCGACATCTTCACGAATGCAAAACTGCAGTCGTCAAGTAGCGTGCTCACTGCTTCGACATGCTGGTAGACCTGCCACTCCAACTGACAACAAACCCCAGCAAAGGCAGATGATGAGGCGGCGACCTCGCTAGTGCGATTGCCTTGATATGGTTCTAGCCACAGGCTCCACAAACAAATTCCCATAGTATCCTGGGACTAAATGACGTCAAGAAAAACACGGCTGCCTCAGCAGATGAGAACATTTTCCGGCAAATAGGGTCCGCGCAATGTTTTGAGCAACACCTCGAGGCCTAGGTCATTGGATAAGCAGATCACAGATCCACCGAAATGACTACCAGGCAAGTCCCCCGGTTGAGAGTAACGAAGAAAGCCAGGTAGGCCGTGCTGTTCGCGCTGCAGACGCCTCTAACCTATGTGGGTTCTGGGCTCGTATGACGATAATCTCGCAGCATTTGGACGCAATCGGGGAAGCCAAAAACGACAGAAAGCTGGGGCGCTGGAAAAATGAGCGCGGATTGGCATGCACTTCATTCGTTTCGGCTAAACAGTCTGACCTGATCGACTGCTGTCGACACAGCTCGGAAGAGCCTGTCCCGGCTAAGCACGTTGCAGAAGCTCCTTCCGCTTTTCTTGGTTCTTCTTCGGCTTGGCCGCCTTACGGCGTGTTCTGCAACTTGCGCCAGCGACTGTTCTGAAATTGAGCCTTCACCACCTCATGAAGGCTCATACCTCGTCCGAACCCTCGCCTTGCCTTGGGCGGCCTGGCCGCGAAGGCGCCATGAAGTTCCATTAAATCCAGCTGAAGCTCCTGGATCTCTCAGACAGTGCTTCAGGTGTTTAGGGGTTCCAACTGGCATTGTTTATCCTGGGGTGACATATGGGGTGAAGGTGAAAGAACAAGTGATGCCAAAAGGCTAAGTGCAATCGGTGGTGAGCTTGGCTTTGAGTTTGCCGACTCCGGTTTGCCAAGCAGAAGCGCAGCCTTTACCCTCTGGAAAGGTAAAATGAAAGTGTAAGGAGGGCAACACAAGGCTAAAATAGGGAGAAAGGTAGCCCTGACCTTGTGTTTACCTTCTGCGGGGGGTAGCTTTTTATCTACCTTAGTTTTGCCTTGCTAAATGTTTAGTGAGCTAAAGGCATGTTATTCGTTTCTGCCCTGCACGCTGCGTAGCACATCAAAGGCCGTTCGGCTACACGCGGTTCTGTTCGCCTTTGTGCAGAGTGCGTCCAAGTTTGGGGCAGGCGAAGATCTTGCAATCGATACAGACAACACCGACCCTAACATAGACCCATGATTGCTAAACCTCGATCATCGTGTTCAGGACTTTATGACCGCTTCGACAGGATGTTGAATTGCGTGTTGCAGGCCGGGTTCCCGGCCATTGGAGCCTCCGCTGCTAGCCGCCGCCTACAGTGAACAAAAAGGATCCGCTTCGGGTTCAGGGCGTCTCCTATCGGCGCATTGCCATTTATACAGGGCTCTCCTGACCTGGCACTCGCCAAGGCCCTTTGGCGCCCACCTTCCTGCAGGACGCAGATGCTCTGATGAGGTGCTATACCATGCTATAGCATAACCTCGTAAGCTTGCTGCGAGCTTCAGCACTGCGAGGCAGGGACAGAGACCCTTGCCGTCCTCACCCCTGGCTGTGCTCACGCGGCAGAAGGCCTCGGCCTCTCCAGAGCTCCTGGGATCCGGATTTTTGGCGGTGGCTGGGCCAAATGTGAAAACAAGTCCACACAACAGCTCCAAAATTTCGCTCTTCTCATGCTAATGTCCCCGACTGGCTGGGCAACCCTCTTGCGAAAGCGGGGGGGGAACTTGAGCTCCGGGCGGCTTCAATGAAAGCCGACGACCTGTGTGTAGGGCTGAGATCTAACAGGGTAAACAAATGCTGCTAGACTTGACTGTCCGCAAGTGGCACTATGCCAAAACCATGTAGCTGGATTTGGAAAGTCGCTCTGGAAGCACACTTGCCCTGCTTCGAGACTGGATTCGTAATTTCCTCTCAAGCGGTGACAAGCCTATCGGCAAAGCTGGAACGCCAGCACGACCAGCCTGCATAGCACATGTAAACCACAAACGGGCCAAGCCATCGCAACTACATGGAAAACTACATATGAGCACATTTATGACGATTGCAGCTGGTGCCTCGGCCGGAGCCTTGCTAAACTCAGCTTGCACAGAATCTGCCCACAGCCCTGAAGAAAGGAAGGCTTGGCAACCGTGCAAGGACGCACAGGTAGCTGCGTGTGATCCCCTCAAGCAGTTGTAAAGACAGCACACCACAAACGATTCGAAAGTGCACAACGCGGCATAGCAGCACAAAAAAATCAACAAAACGGACCAGGAATGACACAACACAGATCACGGCATGACAAAATGCTGCCCACATACTCAAGTACAAAAAACAATGCCACGTGACGTGGCACTGCACAGACTACAAGGCAACAGCTTCAATAAAATCAAGAGGACATACGCAGGGAATTTTGCACCGAAAATCGCCATGAGACCGGGATTGTCAAAACATGAGAACACGATACTTGGCGAACACAAAACATGTGCTGCTGCAGTAGGGCTCGTATGAAACACAAGGCATGCAATCAGTGCAAGCCTTGCCAGCACCTTTCGGCGGCGGGGGAGGAGGCGCACCCTGGCGGCACAAGGCACGGCATGAATGGCATGTTTAGCTTTGAGTACACTGTTTCTCGTGATTGGGGAAAACTCACCAGTCCAAGACGTGGTGGCAAGCAGAGTTTCAGTTTATTAGCTGCAGACTGCAGCGTGGAGTCATGCATTTTGACACGAAGCGTGGTCCCCAACGGTCGATTGCTGCAACTCAGTCATGAATAGCTCCCACATGTTCGAGCACGAGTTTCCGTAGTGCAACCTACACAACAATTGTCCAAAAATGCTCTGGTTTGACAGTCTTATTCTGACCCGGTCCCCGCTGCATGCTTGGTTCTGTACACTTCAAACGAGCATGCTGTTCTTAAGGCATGGGATACATGCAAATCATGCAATTCCACCCACCGGTTCAACAATGTTGTGTGCACGGAGCATTGCGCACCCTCGCTTCTGAGAACCTAAACACAAAGCCGTAGGCAGGGAACTTGTGATTGTCACATCTGGCCTTGCCAGACCCCTTGCCCTTGGGCTTTGGGAGATCGTAAAGCCTTTGTGGTCCGGACGGAATTGCCGTGCACCAACACACAATCGGGATGACAGCGGCGTCGGCTCCAGGGAAAATGGATTGCTCTTTTTACTATCATCATCACCACCACCATCCTTACCATCACCATCGCCAATCGCCGTCAACAACAACAAGAACGGCAAGATATCATGTTGATATCAGCATCCTCACCACTGTCGCATACCCATCGATACGATCACCACCGACATCATCAGCAGCATCGCAGTGCCGTCACCATCACCATCGCCATCATCGCATCAGCACCAGCATCATCGTCATCATGATCATCTTCTTTTCAAGTCGCAGCTAGTGTGTCCGGGCTCGCGGATGGGTGCTGTTACAAGATGCTCTGAGCACCTCGACCGCTGACCATTAAAAATTTGCGGCTAGCACGAATTCCCATATAAGCACGCACTCTCTTGAGTGTGGTCAACATCTGGTTAAAAGCTCATCTGTTTGTTTGAACCGATGGAATAAAGAAAAGAGCAATCAGAAAAACGTCGACCAGCTACTCATCCAGGGTTTTCAGCGCAATGGGAGCCTTCTCGGCGTAACCTTGTTCCTTCCCTTCCCATCGCCGTCAGTTCCTTTGGGAGCCGAAGCAGGATGAATTGCATACGGCCGTCGAGCCGATCCATCTTTCTTGCGGACTGTCCACGTCGAAAGCCAACTTCCGAATCCAAACTTCGAACAAGATAAAGCTGACTTGCGAGTCTGCGTTCCTGATCGGAGTACTTCTCGTCTCGGTGTATATGCTGTATCTCCATGACGGGAGCTGGCGACTCCATGCTGGGGACAGGCCACGGGGAAATACTACGGCTAGGGAGACGTGGGGTTCGGCACAGCAACGCATACATACATGGAAGTTGATGTGATGCCTGCTTCCTCGGGTGGACCAAATTTTGGATGAGCATCGTCGTCGAGAATATAATTAATCCTGGCTACCCCTCACCAGCACGGTGTAATGACCTGAGTGGGTGCTCATCCCATGATGCCTGATGATGAGGTGCGCAAAATTGGAGTGCCACTCCACCTCAGTCGAGGTTGCATCCTGAAAACATGGCACACATCAAGTATGGCTGGTGCGTCTTGACCGGCATGCCCTTAAAATTCTGTCCCTTGAATCTCGGGACTTGTACACACAACCATGACGGCAAGGCTGTTAGAGCGCACATTGCATCCTGCGTGTGCCAGCGCTTGATGAGCTCCTGGATGTCTGAGGTGCGCGCGGCGGGGAGTGGGAGAGCGATGCACTTGTTCACGGGCCCGGCTTGAGGAATACTAAACTGGTCCAGCTGGTCCTCGAGAACAAGTCTCCCTGCCCACTTTCCCCATCGGCTTGGACCAGCTTAGGAATTAGAAAATCCATCAACACGGCCACATGGCGCTGTTGCCAAGCTCTCGGCCAACCCATCATGAGGGCTCGCAACCCCGCACCTGCCAACGCATTGACGCGAAGGCTGAATGTGGTGGGACCGGTGTGAGACAGCACTGTGACTCTCATCCACCTTTGACACCGATAGGCCAGACTTGCCACCTGGTGCGCCATCTGCAAGCGCTTGAGCGTTGCCTTCTTCTTCATGGACATCCCCACCGGCTGGAGGGCTGGGGTTGAGAGCCCGATGAGCTGCAGTAGACTTCGTGCGATTTTGCTCCTCGCAGGCTCACCGATAAGAAGAAGGTGCCGCGGCCGTGGTGGCATTCTCCGCCTCCCAGGTTTGAAGTCTCGTCGTAGAATGAAATTTCTGGATAACATCTCCGGATAAGTGGACGAGCAGGAAATCGACGATCGTGAGGAGCTCCTGCCTGCGGATGCTGTGCCAGCTTTGTGGCCTGCTGGCTCCATTTCTGCCGAGTCCAGCTGTGATCTGCATTGACACATCCGGCTGCCTTGAGCTTGGCGAGGCCCTCCTAGTCCACCCTCTCCCTGAGGTGTTGCATGAGGCACGTCAACAAGAGTGTCCTGATGGACATGTTGGTCTGCGCTGCGCCATCCTCCGGCTGCTGGTCCCATTCCTTCGCAACCTGGTAGAGCCCCGGAAGCACGTTGAGGTCACCCTCCCGGAAGTAGTAAGTAGAGCATCAGCGACTTGTCCATGTGGAGTTCGGCGAGCATGTCCTCCTGTCGCAGCACCAGTTTCGCCACAACATTTGCAGAGGTTCGCTGGGCGCGTCGGACTGCACCGAAAAAAGGAGTGAAGGGTCGCCTCTGTCGGGCCTACGGGTCCTGTCGTTGTTGTTTGGTCGGCTTGTCCTTCTTGTTGGGCAGAAACTTCGCCTGTTGGGCCACAACGCAGCGACGGAAGATGTCCACCACTGGGTTGAGCCCGAAGCCTCCGTCGGTCTCCATTGTCATCTTCGGGTCCTGCTGGCGGCGAGTGCTGAGTTTGCTTGTCACAGCGGGCTGCAGCCAAGCATAATTGGTACAAGACTGGGCATTGTGTGACATGCCGGCCTGGAGTCCAGACCTTGTAGCCACACCTTTGGCGCAAGCTATTTGTGACGAGCTGGCTCCTAAATGGGAGGCAGTTTAATATGCTTGATGTCTGCCATCGACATCTGACAGAAAGCACAGTGCTGAGTGAGCTCGCGATGTAAAGCGGCACACGCCGTCAAATGACTTCCAAGCAGATTGAAAGAACGGGCGGAAAACGAGCCGAATGTTTCGTGGCACAGCTTCGGCCGCCGTAGGATTGGCCGTCTGTTCAGCCGGCACCGGCTTCATCTCCACCTCAGCACGCAGTTGTTGCCTGAAGCTTGAACCACCTAGCCGATCGCACGCCCCCACCTCGATGCGGCGGCGAAGGTACTGCCATTTAGAGTGGGCAGCGCAGGATGCTGCACTGGATCGAAGGCAGTTGCCTCGCAAAAAGTGACTTTCTTGGTCTGTGGACGACGCAAGCCAGAGTGGATGTGGAGCGCATGCCCGGTGGCAGCAATGTGCTCACAGCATTGACAAGTTCTAGGCCACGACTCGTCGTCATTGGGAACACGGCGGCTGCGTGGGCTCGCGGTTTGCAACAAGTGCTGAAGCTGCTGCTCGTCTGCACAGATGAGTCAGCATATCGGGCTGGGTCGTAACATCCGGGGCAGTAGCTGCTCTGGCTTCCAGCTTGGCACGAAACTGCGCCAAAGCCAAGTCTCCCCGTGAATGGTTCGCTGTATTGCTGGCCACTCTGAGTGAAGGCGATGAAGAAGGTTGGCTTCACGATGGTTGTGGTACGGGACCGTCGAGCCAAAGTATTCATGCTCCTTCTTGATGGGCATAAAGCGCTTCGTCCCATTTATGTCAAGGCAAAGGATTCTCGTGATATCACGCAGGGCTTGCTTCGCCTGCCGTCCAACGAACTTCAAGAGTACGGCTGTTTTACAGTAGTTTAACTGTATGTTGAAAGCTTCAAGCGCGCAGAGAAGAACTGTCAGCTCGTGAAGGGCTCGCCCCAGGTCATCAAAGGATAGCAACACCCAGCTGGCCCAGCAGTCGTCTGAAAAAAGCGTAAGAATGTTGTCTATCCGCGCCTGGGGAAGCTGTCGTTCAAGCGACTCCATTAGGGCCAAAGTATACCAAACCCAGAGACAAGGAGCTACCTTGCAGCCCTGCCTTAGGCCGCTTGATGGGACAAAGCCGGCTTTGCAATCGCCCACCTGATACATGGAATTGCAGCCCACAAAGCAGGCGGCGCGCCACATCGATGATATCCCTTAAGAGCTTGGAACAGCCTAGGCCGATCAGTGAGATCGAAGGCTCGACTGAGATCAAGCGAGGGGCCCAGAGCGCCTGCAAAGGCCAGGGGCCTCCTTCCGTTGCACACGCCGAACCGTTGCACCTAAAGAGCTGGAGTGCATCCTCTATGTGTTTGTGAATCCTAAATACCGTATCCATCGTGCCTCGGTTCGGCACATATGCAAATTGAGGCCTCGGACGCAGTAGTGGCAGCTGCCACTCCATCATCCGGAGTCGTAAGATGCCGGTGAGCGATTTAGAGTGAAGCCTATCGGCCGTAAATTTGCCAAGATGCACTCCGGTTTGTTTTCGGCTTAGGTAGCATGGCCATGGTGAGTCCCCCGGTGTGAGGCCTGGGCTTCCTTTCTTGACACGTACCCGAAGGGTCTCGCCAAAGAGGGGTCTAGGGTGTCAGAGCAGAGCTTCTTCCACATTCCAGCAGAAGCTACGGCAGCCTTGATGCCTCGAAACTGGGCCACCATCTCTGCATCTTCGACCTGAAAATCAGCACTCATTGAATGAGAAATGGGCAGGTCAGGATGAAGGGCATACGTGGCCCTGCCTTGGTAATGGTCTGGCGTCTTATGTCTGGGCGAGGAGCTTGCTCGGAATCTCGGAGGCGCGAGATTTTCTGCGCGAAGTTCACTGGTCCCCCACGGAGGCTTTCGCCCTGCTGTAGTCACTGTAGTTTGTTGTGGAAGGACAATTGTTTAACTCAGCGACTCTGCTGCTTGAGTGCCCTGGAGGCTCGCCCGAAGAGAATGGACAATCGTCATTTAAATAATCACCCAACCTGCGGAAGCAACCCGAGGTCTAGAATAACGCAGCATGCAATTCTCATGCTCGCCTGCCTGAGGCACGGTGCTCAGCTTGGGCGCTGACTCGAATGTCCGATGGCCGTTTCGCTGGAGAGGCCTGATGCACGGTGTCACATAGGATGTGACTCCGGGTGTCGCGCAAGCGATGGAGATCTGTGGTATCCTCCTGCTGCAGCCTGGCCTGGACTTGTTGCTGCAGGGCTGCAGGGCGTGAGCCTGCAGGCTGCCTGCGTGCACTGCTTGCAAAAAGGCTGCGTTATCATATGTCACCGGCCGGCCGCCTCGCACGTCGGCTCGCCAGCGCACGGGCACGATGGAGAGGGGAGCCTGCATCGGCAGGTGACCGCCGAGTCGTCACCCCGCCACAGCAAAGCAGGTGAGCGGGCACGCTTGCACACTAGCCCTGACTCCCTATGTGTGATGATATAATCGACTTGCATTTACCCATGTGGCTACTATAGGTTATCGGTCATGAGCGGTTTAGGGGTTGCCCTAGTTCCTTT